GCACACTTTTGTGCAATAAATTCCATCATACTTTTGTTACAAATTCGGGCACGCTTTTGTCCAGCAAAAATTCGAACACTCTTCTGCCTCGTAAAAGCCCTCTCCTTAACGAAGCGAGCAAGAGGAGATAACGAGAATACAAAAAATGTTCAATACAGGCTTAAACTAGTAACAAAAGCTGTAGCTCGATTGTAACGAGAAGCGACAAATACAGCATAGTACAGTAATTAGAGCTAAAATGACACAAGATGTCACATGACTCCAAATAGAGCATTTGTCGAAGCATCTTGGTCACGTGACACTCAATACCCCCTTAGATGACTTGGGTTTAATACCCCTGAGACCTTGAGATGGTTTCGGGGCTTAGCGTCCCCGCGGCCCGGTTCTTAATCAGGTTTCCTACAGTATCTCCTTAACATTCCTGTCTCCACAGCATCTACCTAAGTACATTTTCCTTCACAAGTCTAGGCCCAAGACTCACAAGTCTAGGCCCAAGAAGATAATGGAGTGCTTTCAACCACCATCATTTATATAATGAACTAATTAATCGTTATTATAAAAAAAGAGTTCATTATGCATGAAAGGATATAGGAACGATCTTTGACGCTAATAAATGATAGAGTTACCATTAATCTTTCATTCATATCTAATCTCTACTACACAGTATTATGGCACCTCTGATAATGGCACCTCTGATAATGCCACTACACTGATGCTTTCATTCTCTTCTACCCTCTCTACACCCCCGAGAGTACATGAAAGGATATAGGAACGATCTTTGACGCTAATAAATGATAGAGTTACCATTAATCTTTCATTCATATCTAATCTCTACTACACAGTATTATGGCACCTCTGATAATGGCACCTCTGATAATGCCACTACACTGATGCTTTCATTCTCTTCTACCCTCTCTACACCCCCGAGAGTACATGAAAGGATATAGGAACGATCTTTGACGCTAATAAATGATAGAGTTACCATTAATCTTTCATTCATATCTAATCTCTACTACACAGTATTATGGCACCTCTGATAATGGCACCTCTGATAATGCCACTACACTGATGCTTTCATTCTCTTCTACCCTCTCTACACCCCCGAGAGTACATGAAAGGATATAGGAACGATCTTTGACGCTAATAAATGATAGAGTTACCATTAATCTTTCATTCATATCTAATCTCTACTACACAGTATTATGGCACCTCTGATAATGGCACCTCTGATAATGCCACTACACTGATGCTTTCATTCTCTTCTACCCTCTCTACACCCCCGAGAGTACTCCCTAACACTTACACTTAGTTACAAGGTAAATTGCATCAGCGATTTCCCAAGACGATGCCTTAACCCAATCAGTATCTCCAGGAAGAATATTTGATCAAGGGTTCAAGAAACCTTTGATCAGATCTCTCCTTATATTAAGTCATATCCGTCAATCTGTACATTTTCTCTTTTTAATATATATATATATATATATATATATATATATATATATATATATATATATATATATATATATATATATATATATATATATATGCAGAATAACCACATATGAAAAATAGAAAATGCTTAACGCGTTTTCGGCTAATTCGCCTTCATCAGAGCAAAGTAGAATCATAGAATCCTTTTTACTTTGCTCTGATGAAGGCGAATTAGCCGAAAACGCGTTAAGCATTTTCTATTTTTCATATGTGGTTATTCTGCATACTTGGATCAGTGTTTTGTGATCACTGTTGCATATATATATATATATATATATATATATATATATATATATATATATATATATATATATATATATATATATATATATATATATATATATATATTTCTTGGTACTAATTTGTATTTATATTTTGTTAAAGAGGCTGCATGAAAAATTAATTCTTCAGTATTATATTAAATATCCAAACAGCTTCGATATTTGTTTAATAAAATAGCTATTAAATATTTAGTAAAAAAGACGAGTTCTCGGGATTTTGCGTCGAGGAGGTTTAATAAAGTTAGAATGTTGTTACAGCATCCTGGTTGGCCCCAGACGTTCACGTATGCATGAGAAGATACTGCTTAGCAACTTTACCCATCTCTTCCAACCACTTGGGCTGGACGGTAGAGCGGCGGTCTCGCTACATGCAGGTCGGCGTTCAATCCCCGACCGTCCAAGTGGTTGGGCACCATTCCTGCCCTACGTCCCATCCTATAAACTTATCCTCAAATGCCTTCCAAGGGTTATATAGTCGTAATGGCTTAGTGCTTTCGCCTGATAATTACCTTATCTTGATCACTCGTTGAGGCTATATTATATGTTCAAGAGTCTCGGTAGTTCAGTCGGCTTCGTCAAGGGATCACAATCGATAATTCCGGGTTCGAATCCCGGGCGGAACAGAATTGATTGGGCTGATTTTGTATCAGCTAATGCATTGTTCACTTAGTAGTAGGTAGGTACCCAGGAGTTAGTCGGCTAGTAGTGGGGTTGTATCCTTGAGGGGGGGAGGGGGGGGTAGTAATTAGACCTTTGGAACCTCCATATAAGCCTAACGTGTATGAATACACTCTGGCTGCCTGTCCCCCGACACAATGAATTATTATTATTAAATTATTTTGAGTGGTACTTGATCTGTTTGCTTCACTTGTTTACATTCATTATCTCTTTAAGTTCTGAGAGAGACGAAACTACGTTCCTATTTAATGTGGTGGTTCCTAACGCTTCAAAGTAGTTAGCAAATAGTGCCTGTATAGTCTAGCACTGTAGAGCAAGTTAGAGGGTGTTGAGTGAAGAGACAATAGTTCAGTTGATCAGCCTTGCAGGCATAATATAGCATTGTGCAGGAGTGCCTATTAGCACATAGGAAGCACACCCAATTTGTATCCAACCCCACATGTTTGTGTCCAATCAAAGCCTGAACGAGCCAGTGAGTGTGCTTCAATAATCCTGAACGCTGACTCCCGTAGGGATACAAAAATATCCCCAAAGCAGTGTTTTATATATATATATATATATATATATATATATATATATATATATATATATATATATATATATAACTGAAAACTCACACCCCAGAAGTGACTCGAACCCATACTCCCACAACTGGTATGTACAGGGACGCCTTAATCCGCTTGACCATCACGACCGGACTAAGGAAGTGATAGCCGAGGCTATATGAACCACTTCCCCGCCGGCACTCGGATGGTAATCTTGGGCATAGCATTTTATCAAATCACCTCATTCTTTGGGGCACACGTGAGGAACACAAATGCAAACAAGCCTGAATGGTCCCCAGGACTATATACAACTGAAAACTCACACCCCAGAAGTGACTCGAACCCATACTCCCACAACTGGTATGTACAGGGACGCCTTAATCCGCTTGACCATCACGACCGGACTAAGGAAGTGATAGCCGAGGCTATATGAACCACTTCCCCGCCGGCACTCGGATGGTAATCTTGGGCATAGCATTTTATCAAATCACCTCATTCTTTGGGGCACACGTGAGGAACACAAATGCATTGCAAACAAATGTGAGTTTTCAG